CTTGTATATATTAAAAAAAAAAAATCTACCTGTTCCTGACTTAAAACAAACAAAAAAAAACTACCTTTTTATAATGCACAACTGTTGATGGAGAGCTGTATAGTTTTTAGTCTGTGTAGTTAATTTAATTTGTTCTTTGTGCGGCAGAGCGATCTGCCCAGATACTTGAACACTGTCTTTTATTGTGGTAATTATGTTTTGTGAGTCAAACTTCTGTGCTGGGTGATGCACCCGTTGTGTTTGTGAAAGCTAGAATTCAATTTGAACTCAGGTTGTTTATGAAGGGGAAAAACAGTTGCATAGAGTATAGCTCTGTAGTGGAATATGTCTTCTGTATATTAGGCTGTTAACCTTTGATTATAAACTAGCTGTAAGGATTTCCCAGTGACATAAATTTTTTTAAAAAAGAGAGAAAGGGTTCTCCGGGATACATAGATTCACGGTTTTCTCCACTTTTGAAATGTGGGCATTTTTGTCTCTACATGCTCTGTACATCTGTCTTGTCCATGGTATATATAATCCACATATTAAAGAAAAAGTAATCAGGCAAGCTTGAATATTGTTTTTGCACCAGATGAACAGTGAGCAAATTCGGAGCTATACATATGTGCAGAAGGTTACTACCTATGGTTTACTTTTGATTTTAATTGGGGGAAAATGAATGCTTATTGTAATGGAGTTAATTTTATTGATAATAAATTATACGCTATGAAACCGCCATTGGGCTACTGTAGATTTGTATCCTTGATGAATCTGGGGTTTCCATCGGGCTGAACAGACACTGTATGTTTTGCAATAGTTACCTCAAGGCCTACTGACCAAATTGTTGTGTTGAGATATTTAACTTTTTGCCAAATAAAATATATTGATTCTTTTCTATTTTTTGCGGATCAGCTCTTTGCACCATCTTCTCTAGGGTGAGGGAGCCTGGGTAGAGTGCCTGGGCGGGGGCCGGGCTGGGGTGGAGGAGGACAGAACCTCAGTTTTGCCCCTGGCGGGCTTTCGGGAGCGGGACTTGCCAGCAGCCGGCGGCGGAGAGTGGAGGCTCCGCGGTCCCTCCAGGCCCGCCGCCTGGCGGTGCGGGCAGCGGAGAAAGGCCGGGAACCAGCGGCGGCGAGACCTGGGCTCCCCGCTTTGTGTCCATTTGCAGGATGGCTGGGAGGCCTCTCAGGAGGTGGGCTGGGTCCGGGTATCGCTGGCCACTAGCAGTGAAAGGCCACTTTCTCATCTTGGTGCCCCGAGAAAATTCCCAAACCGGGGTCCACGGAAACTCCTGGGGCCTTCCCTGTCATGGGGGGACGTGGGGGGCCAGGACCCAGAGCTGAGGGCCTGCCTCCTAAGGAGTCTCTGAGGAGAGAAACACGACCCCGACCGCCCCAGCCCCAACGTGGCCGCCAGGACAGACATTTGGGGGTTCTCAGGGGACTGAAGTCTTGTGTCCCCGCACCCCCACGTCCTGTCGGGCTGGCCCGGGAGATTCTGGGTCCTGCACCGCGCGCCCCTCCGGAGCACAAGTCCTGGCAGAGGCAGAGCCCAGGCAACCGACGAGCCCGAAGCGCCATAAAAGAAAATGAGGGCTGTTACCGTTTATGGGGTGTAAAGGGCTGAGGGGGGAACGGACACAATTGCGGAGGCCCGAGCGCCTTCTAGATGTGGCCAGAGGGTTCAGCCTCATCTCCCCTCCTCTTTTCTCGCCCTTCCCCCCTACTCCCCATCTCCCACCCCCCACCCCATCCCCACCCCCTACCCACTTCGACTTCTGCCAAGTTAGCTGTGTTCGGGCGTGTAAAAGGGGAACCAGGGCGCCGGGGGATGGGGCGTCCCCTCACATCCCCACCCCCACCCCGCCGCCAGGTTGGGACGCCCTCTGTTGTTGCAGACAGAAGGAACTTCAAAGAATGGGCAGTAAGGGTGTGCCATAAAGGCCGGGTCTGCGAACTGTCTGGAATTCGGCCCTTAATGAGTTTACAACTGTCCAGCCCCAATTAAGATTTTCCACCAAAGCCCCTTCATTTGTTTGTTCTGTCTGCCGCCGATAAAGCGGCTGCGGAAACAGCTCTCTTTTATGGGCACTCTCGGCAGCGTAGATTCCCGGCTCCTCGCAGAACCCCCGGGGACTGGGCCCTCGCCCCGCTTTGGGAGTGGGGCGCAGGGCGCGCGGCGGCTGCTGACGAAGTTCAGACCGCGCTGCTGGGACTGCAGTACCAAGATGTGGCCAGCAGATGGCAGTATGGCTCCACGCAAGAGGCGCCCGCGCCGCCATCTCCCGCCGCCGCCACCCTGGGACGGTCCTAAGATGTCGACTTGACGAGAGCCTTTCTGGAACGAGAGCCTCAGATTTGAGTGAACAGCTGTGGTATATTTTCGGTGCTGCTCATGCCGAGCCGGAAGCCTCGCTGGGAACCAAGCAAGCGGGGGGAGCTCGCCTGACTTGCACCGCTCGCGTCCCCCTTTCCCCCACTCCGGGGGCCTAGCGCTGCGGGGCTGCAGCTCCAGGCGCTGTAGGGTAACCGTCCCAGCCCGGGACAAGCCTCGGGGCAGCGCGGCGCTCGGAGAACCCGGCTGACCAGCGGACAGACACAAGAACTAAGGCCTACAGCCCCCGGACCTGGTGACACCCCAGAGGGTGTGCCGAGGGTGCATACCGTGGCCAGGAGTCCTCCGGTAGCCCGGGAGGCCCCCGAAGGCTGCGCTCCGGTACAGAACCGGCGAGCCAGCACCCGCGGGCCGCCCCGAATCCGTGACACAATTAGGCGGCTGAAAATTGGACGTAAAGGCACTCTTGGTGACTGTCTAGTGTGGGTCTGACGCCTGAGTTCGTGGGATGGGGAATCCTTGGGGACAGACCAGGAACTGCTTTGGTTATTCTAAAATAAATATGATATTTAAAATAATTATAACATCCTAGCTCCAGGATAGGAGCTCACGTCGTGAAAGCTGCCTTGCTTTCTCTCGCCTCCGAATTTCCTCGGCAGTGGGAGTACTAAGGCTCCTCTGGCGTCTCCTGCTCAGGTGGAGGGAGGGAACCCTAATCCAAACCCAGCCTATCCACGACCCTGGGCGGGGAACACGCCTCGGAGCCTTCCGAGAGGCGCCTCGAGCGCGGGTGCGAGGATCAGCTACGGGTGCAGAATGGTTTCAGACGGAAAATGCAAAAGCAAACAGAAAACCCTTCGAAGCACCCCGGAGCCCTGTGAACACGCCACGCAGTGCATTTATTTGGGTTGTAATAGTCTCCGCCAAGCCCACAAAATGTTTACAACCTGCTTCTCTGCTCTGCACACGCTGTAAAACTGGGGACTAGATTCTGGCTGACATCTCTCCCCGGGGTTGCTCTCTCTCTCCTTCCTTTTTCTCTGTTTATATACACGCTTTGGTATTACAGACACACGCCTTCATTATATTTCCTTATATAATATACAATATTTCACTTCATCTGATTCTAAGAAGGGTTTTATAACTTTCCGAGAGCCGCCAGTGGCCGTGTCTCCAAGGCACAGATACAAAGCTCGATTTATGTGACTACAAATAAATGGCAAAGGAGCAGATCGGTAGCGACCGCTTCTCTCTCCCCACCGATCACGGAGGCCCCAGGTAGGTGCTGGCCGGCTGGGATCTCAGAGGCCTCGGGGACTGCCACGAGGGGCCTCTGTTGCCCTTGGCCGGCCAGTGGCTGGGAGGCGGTTCTCCCTGCTAGGCTGCCTGGGAACGGCGTCCCTGCAAGCCGCCCAGACCAGACCCCGCGCCAGCCCGAGCTCTTTTGCACTCGTTGGCGATGTATCTGTCCCCGCACGGCGACCAGGGACTGCTCAGTGGATGGAGAACCGACGCGCAGCTCGGGCAAAGAGCGCGGGTGGAAACCTTAACAGAAGCAAATCGCTAGCCGCCCGATTCCCAGCAGCTTCCATTCGCTGCCCCGAGCTAGGTTTAAATATTGAAGACTATTTAGTAACAAGAAGCAGGGAAACGAATTCTGCTCCAGGAGAGCGGTGGAAAATGTCTTTATATAGAGACAGCTGGGCTGATTAGACCCCCGCCTACACGCGCCTGCTCCAGGCGGAGCATCAACCAGTATTTCTGTGAATATTATCACACATAACCCACTGCATTGGTGTCTTTTCAGCGAAATAATTAGGACACCAATGGCTCGAGAACATGCGATTAAATAGGCCTTATTGAAAGCCTAACTTTGGCCTTTTCGTTTTAAAACCCTGCCACAGAAAGCAGGAGAGAGACAAGCGCAGAAACGAAAGGGAGGTTTCGGCACCCGCGGGACTCAGCCCAGTTAGCTGACTTGGGCCCAGAAAGGCCGAGGCCTTGCCGGCAGTATCTGGATCATCCTTGGCCCAGGGGAAGGGGCAGCGCGTCCGGCCAGGACCGCTTGGACCCGCGCCTGACAAAATCCGGGCGGGGATGAGCCTGTGACGCGGGCTCCCAACCCTCTTGGCTGGGACTGCGTTCCTTCCCGCTCCTCAAAATCTCTCCCCACTCGGCCTGTCGGGTCGCCTGACTCAGGGCAGGTTCTACTTTAAACGCCATCGCTGTCAGCCGCTCCAGCCACCCGAGTCTAGACAGACGGCGGCGGCGGCGGGGCCCGGGTCTTTTTCTTTGCCTCTTGCTCTGTGTCACCCGAGGAACAATTTATTGGTCTAAAGCTGTCTGATTCCGCTTCTTTGATCTCCTAGCCTACTTCTTGTTTGTTTCCTCTTCCTTCAATTTTCTTAGGTTTTCATTTCCTGCCAGAAAGCGATGCTTTTTGGAATATTTGGTTTTTTCTTCCCTTCCCGTCTTACCCCCTCCGTTCCCAGACTGAGACACGCTATCATCCTGATCCGCCATAAAAGGCATCCCCGGATATTGCCCCCCCCCCACTATGGCCCCTGTACTCCCAGGGGAAACCACCCTGGCCCCACCTGCCCGGACAGCCCCTGCCTTCCCACCCATGCCCCAGGGCAGTCCACTAGAAAGGAGCTGGGATCCGTTGCATCCGGGTCTGAACCCTCTCGCTGCCTTTTGTGCTCCTGGGACCCCCGAGAGAGTGCGGTGAACGGGGACAGCCTGGACCCTCTGAAAGTGATGGGAAGCGCTTTGTACACGAGGAACCAAACTCTATAATTTAGAGGAGAATATCCGGGGCAATTCCATTGTGAGGTCGGGTTTATGGTGTGCAATCGAGCTGAGCAGTAAAAGGCGTACTGACCTGACGGCTGGGCTTCCAGCGCGGCCTGGGCAGTTTATGAGGCATTTAGAGGAAGGATTCGCCCCACCACCCTCCACGGAGCGGTGGGCGGCAGGGGCTTCGCTGTTCCAACCCTGTGCAGGGTTTGGAGGCTTGAGAAGGTAAGCTCCGTGAGTTGGAGGCCTGGAAGGGAAGGAGTGAGTCTACCCTGCGCTCCACTCTCTGCCAGCCAGTCCTTGGAAAAGAGAAGCCACCAGAGCTGGGTGGCCTTTTCGGGAGGGCTCCCCCTATTTGTTTTTGGGGTCTCCAAAAGAAATGGAGATCCATAATGGGCTGCAGTCCCCAGGCGCCTGAACCCTCCTCTGTCTTCTCCAAAGTGGCTCTAAAACATGTATTGCTCCCAGGCACCCACCCAGGCCCATGAGGAGCTGGCGGAGGCCCAGAGGTGGCCGGGGTGAAGTCTACCAGAAACCTCACTGTGCTAGGGGTACCTAGAAAGGTGCGGAGCCTGAGGTTCCTCCAAGCGGGGCGGGGGGGGGGGAAAGGACTTGTTTCCCCTTCAGCCAGGGGGAACTAAGCGTTGCGGGGAGGATAAAAGAGTGTCCAGCCCTTTCTCCGGCTGCCAGAGGCCAGCCAGGTGCCCAGGAGCGAACGCACCGAGTCTGCGGGGCCAGCGTGTCCAGGAGGAGGGAGGGGAGCCCCACGTTAATAAATCTGTTGGCAAATGAGGCTCATTAATAGATAAATATTTCACTGCTTCCTTTAGAGCGGATAAACAGTGCGCCGCTGATTAAGGAAAGGAAGCTGGGAGACCTTGACTTTATTCGAACCACATGGTTCCAGTTTGCGGTGGCGTTCTCGCTGCAGCTGGAAGCGACGCTGCGCCTGCCTGCCCCATCTGGATCGGAGTCTAGGTCGGTTTATCGCCCACTGGATCTGGGCGGGGTAGACGTGGGCAAAGAGTCGATTTGCCCAGAGCTGAGACTTGCCCACCCGGCGACTGTGGGGCGGGCGGGTGTGCGGGGTGCAGAGACCCTCGCTGGGCTGGGTCAGTGGGCAGAAGACGGGCAGGGAAGAGCCGCAGGCTTGGTCCAGAGTTCGGTAATAGGCAAGAGGGGGCTGCTCGGGGTCGGGCTAGCGCGGCCTCTGCAGGCCCGGCGTCCAGACTGGCGGCGAGCAGAGCGCTCCCGCATAGCCTCGGGGTCCTTTTCCCGCAGGACGCGCCAGGCCGGCCCGGCGCGAGCAGATTCGTTGGCCACATATTTGAGCCTCTTCCCCTTCCATTCTAGGCTGTCGCCGGCCCCGCGGAGCGAGACCACCTGTGAGGGCTGCTGAGATTGGTGGAGGCGGTCATGTGGGCGGTCACGTGTTGCGGCGAGCTGGGTCCAAAAGAAAATGGGGTTTGGTGTAAATCTGGGGGTGTAATGTTATCATATATCACGCTACCTCGTAAAACCGACACTGAAAGCTGCCGGACAACAAATCACAGGTCAAAATTATGAGTTCTTCGTATTATGTGAACGCGCTTTTTAGCAAATATACGGCGGGGGCTTCTCTGTTCCAAAATGCCGAGCCGACTTCTTGCTCCTTTGCGCCCAACTCTCAGAGAAGCGGCTATGGGGCAGGCGCCGGCGCCTTCGCTTCGACAGTACCAGGCTTGTACAATGTCAACAGCCCCCTCTATCAGAGCCCCTTCGCGTCCGGCTACGGCCTGGGCGCCGACGCCTACGGCAACCTGCCCTGCGCCTCCTACGACCAAAACATCCCCGGGCTCTGCAGTGACCTCGCCAAAGGCGCCTGCGACAAGGCGGACGAAGGCGCGCTGCACGGTCCGGCCGAGGCCAATTTCCGCATCTATCCCTGGATGCGGTCTTCAGGTAGGCGCAGCCGCTAGGCGGGCCGGGTGGGAGCCGGGAGCGCGGGACTGGGGAGCGGAGCGAGGCGGCTGCGAGCCGGCGGCCCCGTGACTCCTGGCGGCGCTGCCTTTCTGGTTTTAATTAGAGCTGAGGCGCCATAGCGTGGAAAGCCCGTAGCATTGTATGTAAATGAGGCTCATAAAACTTTTTATAGCCCAATTAATGGGTTCGATCCTCGTAAATTTATTTAACTCCATTTGCCTTGGAATGTTAACGTTAAGTTTGTTCGCTATTCTCTCTCTTTTCTCCCTCCCTTTCTTCTCTCTCTCCCCTCCTTTTCCTTTTAGCCCGGCTTTTCTTTCTCAAAAGCAGAGAGAGCCAAACCCTTCAGGCCCCTTTATGCCAGAAGCCGTTTAAAGGCGGGAGTGGGGGAACAGGAGCGGAGACAGGGGTTCGGAGTGCCGTAGGAAGGTCCGGGGATGGGGGCGCGGGATGCTGGGGAGAGAAAGCGCCGCTGGAACCGAAGGTCGCCCACTTCCTTAGCTAGGCGGGGAAGCAGCCCGGCTCGCCTTTGAATGGCAAAAGCGTAGCGTCTCCCACTTGCCCACACTCTATATTTACAATTTCCCTTTGTCAGGGGGAAGCAGGACATTGTGGAAGCCTAGCCGGCTGGAAAGGGCGGTTGTTAAGTTGGGATCTGCGCCTTCCCTCCTCACAGAGCTGCCTGAGGGTCTGGCACCGCGGTTGGGATCTTCCACTCACACTCCCGCTCCTCCCCTAGCTCAGTTCGGGGGCGCAGGGCGGAGAGGGACGCGCGCCTGGGTCAGGGCCCGGAGGAAGGTTCGGGCTCTGGGATGGTGGCCTGGCTAATGACTGTTCTGTCTGTGTCTCTGTCGGCTTGTCTGTCCGTGTGTCCATGTGTCCGCATTTCTGCTCGCAGGGCCCGACAGGAAGCGGGGCCGCCAGACCTACACGCGCTACCAGACGCTGGAGCTGGAGAAGGAGTTCCACTTCAACCGCTACCTGACGCGGCGCCGCCGCATCGAGATCGCCCACGCGCTCTGCCTCACCGAGCGCCAGATCAAGATCTGGTTCCAGAACCGCCGCATGAAGTGGAAGAAAGAGCATAAGGACGAGGGTCCGGCTGCTACCGCAGCCCCCGAGGGCGCCGTGCCTGCCACCGCCGCCACCGCCGCCGCCGACAAGGCTGACGACGAGGACGACGACGACGAAGACGAAGACGATGAGGAGGAGGAGGAGGAATAAGGGGCCGAGCCGGGGCCCTGGCTGCACCAGACAGTCGGGAAAGCCGTCTTTAGAGACTCATTGATTTTATTTACGAAAGTGGAAAAAATAAAAAGAAAATGTAAAAAAAAAAAACCCAGCCCCCAACCTACACCCCATTTATCCTATTACCCACTCCAGCTGCCAACTTTTCTGGACTGAGCAGCCGCCTAGACTGGGTCTCCTTGAGGATCCCCTCTGCCTCTGAGGACCCCCAACAGACTCTCCCCAATCCCGGGCCGCCGGCTCTGCGCTGGTGCGGAAAAAATACTACCTAGCACAGGCCTCGGCGAGAGGCACCCCCAAACTACCTATGGGCCCAGCCCCAGTGGGCCTCCACTCCCAGGAAGCCCAGATGTGTCCCAACACTGGCAGACACCCAGCACCCCTTCCCCCCCCTACTGGCAAGGACCTGACTCTCAGTACTACCTACTCGCCCCAAACTACCTATTTTGTGCTCACTGGCTTGCTTGCTACCTAGTGCTGGCCCCTCCCCAGCCAGGCCCCTGCTGCTTCCTGCTGGCAGCCTTTGGGGTCCCACAGGCTGCACTGAGAAGGCATTGGGGTTTGGGGACTAGGGCATTGGCTTCTATTTAAATTGAAAAATAATATATTTATTCCAAAGCATTGTAAGTGCTGCAACCTAGAATCCCTCCTTCTCTGGCCTGGGCACCCCAAGTTCAGTTCAGGCCCATCACCCTCCAATTCTGGAGGGAGCATTCCCAAGCTAGCTGCAGATCTCTGGGTTAGCTTCTGCTTAGTAGGACTGCAGAGATGCTCCCAGCCTCCCTGCCTTCTCCCCTGACCCCTGTGTCCTAGTGTCAGGCCATGTTGAATATGTACACCCTGACTTTTACTACAATAGCAGATATTGTATATTTGGACAAGATTTTTTTTTTTTGTCCTTTATATAGTCTTGGAGCTCGTTTGTAAGGCAATGTCTTGACTTGAGAAGGATGTGTTACTGGGGTGACTTTGTAGCATGGTGTGTTGTCTTGAGCTAACTCGCTAGCGGGTGGAGAGGGCCGATGCCCTCTCCAATGCCCTTCATCTCCTGTGTTGTCCTGCGTCCCCCTAGTCCCCCTCGGCTCTAGCCTGGGGTTTCAGGAACGGGAAGGTATGCTTCCTGTCTTGCCCAGCTAACTGTGTTTTATGTAACAGAAAAATAAAGATGCTTGGTGACAAAGAAACAAACTGGATTGCTTTATCTAGAGGGTCCTGGGGAAGAGAGGGTGAGCATGACTGGAGAGCAAGCCGTGGTTGTGTCTGTGTCCCCTGTGCTGGCTTTGGGGAAGCAAAAGTGGAATGATGAATAGGTTCCAAGTGTTGGGAGTCCATGTTTTGGTGTATATGTGTGTTGAGTCCCTTTATGTGTGGATTTTTTATGTGTGGACTTGTATGGGTATGTGTGTACCTCTCTTTGTATGTGTATTTTGGTGTATGTCTGTGTATTTTTACATGAGAACATAATTGTATGTATTTGTGTCCATGATTGCGTGTTTGCATGTCAATAATTGCACGCATTTGTGTCCATAATTGAGTGCATGTGCTTCTATGTGTCCATAATTGTATATGTGCATTTCTCGGTGTGGAGATTTTTGTCAGGTTTTTGTGTGTGTGCGCAAACATCTTCCAGATTCCTTGAAAACACAGTCTTCAATGGATACATTATATTCTATGAACCTCTCTAAAAACCTTCATAAATTCCATGAGCGAATCCAAAATCCACCCTTTCTTCTAAGGCTCTGGGGTGGGCTTGGATAGGGGTATTACCCTGCAACTGATCCTGAATTCTCCATGAGCCCTGAACCCGGCCCCAGGCTAGGAGGTGGAATTCAGGGCCTCTGACGCAGCCCCCACCCCCACCCCGCATTCAGGCGAAGCGAGGGCGCCCCAGGGCCCAGGACCGCAGCTGAAGGCTACGAGAAGGGGTTTCGGGCCGCACTCCGGGCTGCAAGCCTGAAGCCTCGGTAAGGGCGTCTGGGTCCAGAGAAGCATAGGGGCTGGGGAAGGGGCTAGGGGCTAGGGGCCGTGGGGACAGCGCAGAACAGCGTGAGCTCAGCGGGCAAAGACTTCGATTCCAGTCTCCGGCCTGAGTTGGGCCCGCTTCTTATTGCTCTTTTAATAAAACTCGCCCAACTGGGTCTGTGAAACCTGCGGCCCCAAGTCGGGGCGGCCTCCGTGTTAAGATGGCGCCGGTGTAAGAGCTGCCTCCTCTTAGTGATGGGGAAAGGGTCATAAATCCGTTGTTGTTTATGAAAATTTACAACTTTGCAATACAACTTTATGAGTTGTTCGGCCCTTCCATTGGCCGCTGTCGGTCATGTGGATGGGAACCGTGAACATGAACTTTTTTATAATTTCCCTTGCGAGAATAGAGCCGCATTCTTTTGCTCCGCTCCATCCTGCCTGCTTCGGAGCTCTGCCTTCCAGCCCGGCTCGGCTATGCTTTGTCCGGGGATGGTGAGCGAGATGAGGCCCCCGGCCTGGCCTGGCCCGGCCGCTCCCGCTGGAGGTTGGGCGCGCCCAGTTCCCGGCGCCGTGGCGGCCGCTTTGCAACTCGCAACCTGGCTAATTTCCTGCGTCCTCTGGCACCAGGAAGGAGGACAATTCGTCTCCCCAGCCTGTCCAAGCGACAGCTGTCAGAGGTGCAGGAGCTTCTGGGAGCCGCCATCTGAAGGTGAGACATGTGGGGAGACAGGAGCAAAGGTAGTGAGATGGCAGCCGGCGGCAGAGGCGGTGGGAGAGGGCACCCAGGGCGGCTTTGAAGAGGGGCATACTCCCCCTCACCCACACCCGTTCACATTCGCCCCCCCACCACGCACTACAGCACACACACACACAGACACACACACTCTCTCTCTCTCTCTCGCTCTCTCTCTTTCTCTCTCCCCACTCTCCCTGGCTCACCATGGCAGTAAATGCCTGCCTGCCTTCCATGGCACAGCGCCCTGGCACAGGGCAGGAACACCGAGGTCTTCTCTCTCTCCCCTTCCCCAGCGACCTCAGGAAGCCCAAAAGGAAGTGGGCCTGCACCCTGCATTCCCTGCCAGCCTCTCGGGTTTGGATTTTTTAAATTTTCATTCATGACCCAATTGGTTTGATTGAATTCCCCAACAATTGGAGACAGTTCCAGACCTGGGAAGGTGGGAAGAGGTGAGGGCAAAAGTGAATTAATCGACAGTCGTTTTATTAGCATAAACACAACACCTTCTATTCCGTGGAAAATGGTTTCTGGAGGGAGAGGTAGAATAGGAAAAAACAAACAAAAACTTACTAATGCAGCCCGAGTCTTCTGCTGATTGCCTGCTTCCCTTTGCGCGGTTTTCCAATGAGAGAGGTGTCTGACGCACCGGGAGAGGGAATAAGTGCGTGGGTGCAATTCTGTGTTGGAGGAGAGGATGGGGTTAATTGGTTAGGTATTGCTTGGCGGGAAGTTTCGGTGCAGAGGATGTAGTGGTGTTTTTGCGAGTGGCAGGGGCCCGCAGCTAAGGATGAAGGAAGGAAGCAAACCGAGTCTGGGCGATAGGGGGGCCCCCCACTCACCTCGGCGCAGCGGGCTGGTGACCGCGTGCCCCACCACCCGCCAGCGGGAAAAGGACTGTGGAACCGCCCGGGAGGAGGCGCGGAGGGTGCCGCGGGCGTTCTCTTAACGTAGCGCGGTGACCCAGACCATGGCTTGACCTGGGTGCGCCTTGGCCAGATTTGCCCCGGGAGCTTCCTGGGACAGCGACCAGAAACGATCCTGAGGTTCTGGGCTCGAGTTCTTTTTGTTTGCTTTTTTTGGTTTTCCTTGTTATTTTCTCGCTTTAAGATAATACTTGGATATGCGTTGGATAATTAAGAAGGGGCTGTGGATGTTTGGGACGTCCACTGGCGCTGTGGGTGCGCTCAGGACGGAAAAAGCGGTGCATTTGCATCGCAGAGCCGCGGGCTGTCTGACTGCGGCTGCCGCGGGCGGATTATTTATTGCGACCGCGCTGGCGCTCGCTGCTGCCACGCTGTGGCCGTCACCGGGACCGACGCCAGCCACAGCCCCGCGCCGTGCAGCCTGGCGCGACTGCTGCGCGGGCCACTCAGAGATTCCCAAGCAGGCCAAGGAGCAGGGGGCCAGGGAGGACCTGAGGGGCGGCGTCCCAGGGCCTGACTGGCCGGGAACCTCCCCGGCCTTGGCCACCCCTGACAGGAGCTGGACGCCCGATTAGACTCGAGTCCTCCCCCCCAACCCCAGCACCATGGAGACTGGTTGCACAGGCCGCCTGGCACGTCATGGCTGCTTCTGTCCAAACTACGCGTCCCAAGGCGCCCCGGGGGCGCATGCTGGTTCGAGGAACGCGCCCGCTTTGGGATTTCGAAATCGGAGAGACCACTCATAGTACTGAGGCCTGCAGGCCTGGCTGGCCCTGAGGAGGATTGTCTATGGCGAGGAAGGCTGGCTTTGGCTCCAAGTGAGGGCCCGTGACAGGCAGAGGCCGCACCTGTGTGTGATGGGCTCTGGCCTGGGCTAGAGATCCCGGCAAACGGGGCGGCCTTCAAGGTCCCACACACACACCAGCAGGCCGCCCTCCAGGCTGGCGGAGGTCGAGGAGCTCGCTCAGAGGGCAGTCCAGGGAAAGAGCGGACTGTGGGGCCCTGCTCGCCATCCTGTCCCCCTTGAAGAGCAGCTGAAAGGTAAGTGGACTTTCTGTGTGGCTTTGACGGAGAAGAGAGAGCCCTGGTGGCCATTCTCACCATCCCAGGAGAGGCTCCCTCCAGCGTCTGGGGCTCCTATTCTCGCCTGAGTGGGTCTCTCTCTCTCTCTCTCTCTCTGTATATATATATAGGCACCTAATGCTGGTTGGAGAAATAAATTGGGCGGCTGCCAACACGATATGTATCAGCCTTGGCTAACACGTAGGGATTTCAATTTAATATATTTTTTTCCAGCTTAGTGCTTATAGAAGATAAAAATATGTATTTTGGCTCTTAGCTAAGAAATCAAATTCTCTCGTTGGCCAGTACAATTATTAGATCGAAAATTCAGGTCAAACCGTAACAAATAATAATAGTAGTAAACCGCCACCAGCCCTAACACTGTGTGGGACCTGGAGGAATGAAACAGAAATTATAAATGTAAACATTTGTCAGCATCTCCAAATAGTCGTTTTCATCTTACATAATAATAACTTGCTTAAAATCACTGTCATCTGATGGTCTTGTCTAGAAACAATAACTCAAACATGATTTTCTTTGAACATAACTTTTAGAAAACAATTCTCTTCTATTTTTTGACTTTTAAGCTTTCATTTTCACCTATCAGATCCTTCTCCTGAAGAAATGCAAGGGAAATGCTAAATTCTATCCGCTCCTGCGAGGTCCTTCTTTGTATATGCAAAGGAGAAACTTTCCCAGCTTGGATTGATCTGGGCTCAGGCAGAAGGCTTCTAGGAGAAGCCTCCATCAAGTGGGCAGCAGCCGCTTTCAGTGGTGCACACTAGGCTCTGTGGAGGGTGACCTTTCCCAATTTTTTCCCTTTGGGGGAAGTAAGGGCAGGAAAAAAAATCAAGAAGCAAGGAAGAAATTAAGGAAGTCATTGTCAGATTCCTAGGGGGGTATTGCCACCCTCCCCAATTCCTGAACCCCACCAGCCTGCATTCAGCAGTTTTACAGATCTTATAAACACCTTCCAGAAATTTGACCAAATCGTATAAATAGTCTTTCTTCAACCTCTACAGAATTGAGGATTTTAAAGCTAATTCAAGGGGTTTTACAAGCCCAACAAATACAGTCATAAAAATGCCATTGGCAAGATATCACATTTTACAAAATGAGATTGATCCATGTGCTGTAAAAGTCAACTATCTCCCAGGCACACCTCTCAGGCAAAGAGACAGCATCCCAGGACAGGCTTTTCATGTCCTGCCTGGGGAAGGCCAGGCCTGGGACCATGGTAAAAACAATTCAGACGATTTCTGGAGCCGGTGAGACAACTACTCCCGGTTTTTGGAGCGACTGGGGGTAGCAGGCCCCCCGAACAGTCCCAGGAAAGGCAAGAAAGAGGGCACACCCAAGGACAGTGCGGGCTGTCGGGCGCCCAGGAGACCAAGCACATCAATTATCCCGCAGCCTTGGGCCACCCGAGTTGCCCTCTATGCCTGGCTGGACCCAGGACCCTGGGTCGCCCGCGCCTCTGGAATGAGGACAGAGATCCCACATCTGGATCTGTCTCAGCTCTGAGCGGTCCGCGTCGTGGAGGGCGAGTCCCGCCCGAGGTGCCGAGCTAGAGGAGCAGGTTCCCCGGCTGGCGTCGGAGCTCAGTCTCACGGCCACTCCTCTGCAGGTCCCTTTCTTGTGGAAACCAGTGGTTTCTGGCCTCTCGGTTCCTGGGTTCAAAGGCGGGACGGGGGTGCGCAGCTGTGGGGGTGCTTTGAGGCCAGGCAGTCACTGGCCATTGGCCGGGAGCCCATTGGGACTCAAAGGAGATGTGTCCTATGTGGGCGGAGGGGGCCGGCGGGGGAAGAGACTATGTTTGGCCGCGCCCTGGTCAGATCAAGGTGAGCCTTCCGCTCTCGGCAGCCAGGCCCAGGCCCTTGGTGGGGTGGGAAAGGAGAGACAGAAGGGATGCACCGATTCCTAAGGCGCAGGAAGGCCTGGTTTCACAGAGCCCCTTCTCCAGCTTCGGAACCCGCACCCACTGGTAGAAGAGTGCAGGGGGAGGGGCAAACAGGGCCTGGCGGGGAGGGCAGGCCGGCAGGGAGCAAAGACATCCTTGTCACCGCCCCTCCCGGCGCGGGGCTGTCAGGTTTCCTGTTTGGAGAGAAAATCCAGCAAAAATCCAACAAGGCAAAAAGGGAGGAGGAAAAAGCGGGCCTGGTGGGGCCTTTGCAGCGGCCCGGACGCTGTGCCCCGACCCCGGCCTGATCGGATCGCCCCTGCCCGGCCGGTGTCCGCCGCTGGCGATCGGAAAGAGAGCCGGGCCGGCTGGCTGTGCGCGCCCATTAATCTGCCGGGCGGGCGGCGGGCGGGCGGGCTGGGGGCTGTTTGTAACTTTGCTGCCTCGGTCGCCGTGGTCCCCGGGGAGCGGGCTCCGGCGCTCGCTCCCATTGGCCGCCGCCGCGTCAGCTGGTGCGATTTGCTGCTGTCGCTTTTGGCGTTCGGCCATCCAGAAACAAACCAGTTCGATGACTACTAATAGTTATAGCCAGATGTACTAATACACAACAAATCACAGTCCTGCGGAGGGGCGCGCAAATGAGTTCCTATTTTGTGAATCCCACTTTCCCCGGGAGCCTGCCCAGCGGCCAGGACTCGTTCTTGGGGCAGCTGCCCCTCTACCCGGCCGGCTATGACGCGCTGAGGCCCTTCCCGGCCTCGTACGGGGCGTCGAGCCTCCCGGACAAGACGTACACCTCACCTTGTTTCTACCAACAGTCCAACTCGGTCCTGGCCTGCAACCGGGCGTCCTACGAGTACGGGGCCTCGTGTTTCTATTCTGATAAGGACCTCAGTGGCGCCTCGCCCTCGGGCAGTGGCAAGCAGAGGGGCCCCGGGGACTACCTGCACTTTTCTCCCGAGCAGCAGTACAAATCCGACAGCAGCAGCGTGCCAGGCAAAGCCCTCCATGACGAAGGCACCGACCGGAAGTACACGAGCCCTGTTTACCCCTGGATGCAGCGGATGAACTCCTGCGCGGGTAAGGCATGTCCCTGCAGCCCCCCCAAGAGAGTGGAGGGAGAGGGGGAAGGAGGCAGGGAAAGAAGGAAGGAAGGAAAAAACAGAGAAAATAGAGGAAATAGGAGGAAAGAACGAACAAAGTTTCTTTGGTTTTTTAAAAAAGATTAAAAAAAAAAAAAACCATTCCCAATGGGGCAATCAAGCTGTGGCAGTGAAGGCAGGGCATTAGTGTCCACGTAAGGGGATCGTGGGAGGTCACTGCCACACTATATGAGACCCGTGACAGGGGCAACCTGAAGAGAGAGCGATGCTGGATGGGAGGGAGCGCCTGCCCTCACTTCACCCTGGTAACATCCTGCTCTGATTCCCAAGCCGACATGGCCTTCTGCACCCATCACTGATAACTCCCCTTAGCCTCCCAAGCCCCTCTCCTTTCTGCCCTTTAGAAACCCATATAGATAGAGGCCCTCAGCTGGCTTCTTCCAGTGTCTCGCCAAAGCCTTGGAGGGCCACATCCCCAGCCTTAGGATTTTTTCTCTCTCTCCTCCCTCCCCTCCTCCCCCTTCCACTCAACTGCTCACTCAGCCAACTTCTGCCTCCTTCTGAGGCCCTGCCTGAGTCTCACACACCCATCTTGGGGGAAGGCCCCCACCCATGGGCCCCTTTGGCACCAGAACAGATAGCCCATCACAGTCCTACATTTCCAGAAACCTCAGATGGCCCATAGCTCCATCTCTTTGCCCCTGGTTTCCAAAAACTCCACAGGGAATCCTTGGAGCAGGACAGAGTCTAACAGTGTTTTGTTTTAAAATCCAGGTTTTTTTTAAAGGGAGCTCTGCGTTTCTCAGAAGGGCCATACAATTTGGGGAATTTGCAAAGATTTGAGAGGGCTGACCATTTTTAATTTTCCAAAAAGCGTGTTGAGTCCTGGCTGGCCACAGTAACATCTTCACGGAGATCCATATGTGAATTCAGTGTCTACCCTACTCACAGGGTTCCACACCCACCACTCCCAGACACATGCACACTACACTCCCACAAAAACACGACTTAGGTACCCCGAATGAAGAATGAGTCTTTCTATTCTTTTGCTTGTAATGGTTTTCTTACAGAGCAGATTTTTCAAAAACAATAACTTCCCACCCCAAGTGGTTTTAGGTGGGCAAACATCTCGCCTGGTATGAAATAATCTTCGCCCATCCAGCCCGCTTTCCGCCCGAGATATAGTGGGAGAGGCTGGAGTGGAGGCGAGTGGTTTCCAGTCCAGAGGCCCGGGGCGCGGGGCGCGGGGCGCGGGGCTGACTGGTTGGGCTGCCCGGATGCTAGCTTATCGGGACCGGGCCATTTCTGCCCGCAGGTGCTGTGTACGGGAGTCACGGGCGCCGAGGCCGCCAGACCTACACGCGCTACCAGACGCTGGAGCTGGAGAAGGAGTTCCACTTCAACCGCTACCTGACGCGGCGCCGCCGCATCGAGATCGCCAACGCGCTCTGCCTCACCGAGCGCCAGATCAAGATCTGGTTCCAGAACCGCCGCATGAAGTGGAAAAAGGAAAATAAACTCATCAATTCCACACAGCCCAGCGGGGAGGACGCTGAGGCAAAGGCGGGCGAGTAGACGCCTGGGCAGGGACTAGGCCAGCGCCGCAACCTCCCTCGGCTTTGCCCCTTCGCCTGCTCCCCAACTTTTCTCCCTGCCTGCTCCCATCGGGGAGCTTCCGCAGTTTCAGGGGAGCCCGGAGTTTTGCAAACGCCTGAGCATTTATTTCTTACAAAATAATAATAATAATAATAATAAAAATCACACACAGCCAATCCCAGCGGTGGAGCGGGGCGCACTGCACATAACAGTCCCGCTCTCCAAGGCTGCCCAAGGCGGCTCCGGATCCCAGGGCGCGCCCCGAATTCGTCCCCCGCTCTTGTGCTACCGCCTCTGCGCGCCTCTGAGCTCGGGGACGCGGGGTTGCTGGAGAGGAAAGAACCCAGGGCCGAGCCCATTTTGATGTCTGAGCGTTTCTGCTTCGGTCCCTCGCCACCGAGTCCTGGAAGATACCACCACATCGACTCTGGCCACTGGAAAGAGGGAGCCTAAAGGCTGGGGCCCCAGCACTGCCGTGGCCTCCCAGGCCGCCCCCAGACAGGAAGGAGCGCGAGGAACAAAGGGGGTCCTGAGAAAGCCTAGTTTCTCGGCCCCGCGCCCAACCGTCCGTGGAAGCGAAGTCGAGCCAACCTGGGGCGGGTGGAACTTGACAGCCCCGGGAGCGACTGGGCTCCCGAAGGCTCAGGGCTTTGAATTCTGGCTCCCTGCCTCCGACAGTGCCGGTGCTGCCACCACGGCAGCTTTCAGGACCAAAGGAGGGGGCCCAGGGCTGTGGGAGCGGCAAGAGCCCTGGCTTCTAAATGTGCCAGGGGCGCCGGCGACGCCCGGCCTCCTGCGGGGAGAACCCCCCATGCCTTTCGGCTGTATTTGTAATTTACTTTCGTCTTTCAGAACCCAGGAAAGTAACTGCGGAGATAGTTACTTGCATTGGCGTCATCATTATACTCCTGGAGGTCTAAGCAAGAACCTAATAACTCGGCCCACGGATCCCCAGTCCCCAAGCAGCTTCTGTGTCTACGGGGAGCCTGGGCCCACTCGTTGGGTTCACTGAGAACCCTCCGACTTGGGGCCGGCTGGCTCGAGGAAAGGGACCCTGTGTGAAGATTCTCCAGGCTGGATACTTAAAGCAAATCAAATACCAAACTAATGACACGAAAACCATATTTACACGAAAGAAAAATCAACTCCGGTTATAAAAGTGTATGGAATTTGACCTCGCCTCGGAGAAACACTACACAAAAGCTATCTTTAATAGACGCTTGTCATTTAAGAGCGGCAGTGACACTGTCCCTCATGCGCTCGCAAAAACAGAGCCGTAATTGTAGCTGCTGCTGCGGGCAGGATTTATTTCTCCAGTTGGTTAAATGGCCTCCCCGCTTCCCCGAAGGTGATATCTGTATTTTCAAATTTCAGAGTTGCCGGCAAGACGGGCAGAACCGACCCCAACCTCGACACAAAAATAAGAGGGGCTGCACAGTGGGGAAATAAAGTTGTTGTAAATAAAATCCAAGTCACCATCTCCCCCCAATCCTCTGCATCCTCGCCGGGCACGCGATCGGCAGCTGACGGCCTCACAATTGGTACATCCTAATGGAACTGCGAGGGAAATGCAATAATTTTGCCATAATGGGCTGTAACCTCAATTCGACCCCGGCCCTTGCAGCCCTGGGTCGGAAGCGGAGCGATGCGCCCTGCCTCCAGCGGGTGGCGCTCGAGTCCGACTGAACGGCGGCGGCGGGAGGCGGGCACGCGCTTGGGGCGCGCGCGCCACCCCTCTCGCCTCCACCCATCTCCCCCATTAGTGCGCGAGTTTACCTCTAGAGGTCATCAGGCAGGATTTACGACTGGACAACAAAAGCACGTGATTCGAAGTCGTACCCCATATTTGGGTGCCTACGTAGGAGGGAACCAAGTACATGTCCCAGTCATTTCCATAATTCATCATAAATTGTGCAAGGGTGCTATAGACGCACAAACGACCGCGAGCCACAAATCAAGCACACATATCAAAAAACAAATGAGCTCTTATTTTGTAAACTCATTTTGCGGTCGCTATCCAAATGGCCCGGACTACCAGTTGCATAATTATGGAGATCATAGTTCCGTGAGCGAGCAATTCAGGGACTCGGCGAGCATGCACTCCGGCAGGTACGGCTACGGCTACAATGGCATGGATCTCAGCGTCGGCCGCTCGGGCTCCGGCCACTTTGGCTCCGGGGAGCGCGCCCGCAGCTATGCGGCCGGCGCCAGCACGGCGCCCGCCGAGCCCAGGTACAGCCAGCCGGCCACGTCCACGCACTCGCCTCCGCCCGACCCGCTGCCCTGCTCCGCCGTGGCCCCCTCGCCCGGCAGCGACAGCCACCACGGCGGGAAAAACTCCCTGGGCAACTCCAGCGGCGCCTCGGCCAACGCCGGCAGCACCCACATCAGCAGCAGAGAGGGAGTTGGCACGGCGTCCGGAGCCGAGGAGGACGCCCCCGCCAGCAGCGAGCAGGCGAGCGCACAGAGCGAGCCGAGCCCGGCGCCGCCCGCCCAACCCCAGATCTACCCCTGGATGCGCAAGCTGCACATAAGTCATGGTAAAGCCAGCCTTTTTCTAAATCCACGCGGCCGCGGGGGCGCGGCTCTCAGTCCTCCCTCTCTCCTTTACCGCCCTCTCTCCCCGTCTCTCTCCTGGTCTCGCCTCTCCCAGCCCTGTGGAGCCTCTCCCCGCCGTTCTCCTTCCCCTGCCTTCCTCCTCCCTCCTTCTCTTCTCTGCAGCGCCCAGCGCTTGCAAATGGGGGGAAAGGGCCGCTGGCCAGGCAAGTTTAGACGTTGAAAGGGGAGGGGAAAGAAAAAACCCAAATCGAACCCCAACGCCTCGGAATGCGCTCCTGGGTCAGGCCAGCCGAGCAGGGCGCAGAGAGGTAGAGGATGGCAGTAGGGCTGTGAATCGGGCTTGTCAGGGCGGATAATTTATGAGGAGGGCTACGCTGGGGAAACAGCGTTACTAATTAGAGTCCCCGAAAAGGGGCTTGGGGGGGAATAATCGAGGCAAGAGCCGGAGGGATTCTGAAGTTTGGGGGCAGGAGGGACAACAGGAAAGGAAAGGGAAGAAAAAGAAAGCAGGCGCCCCAAGCGTACAGGCTGGAACAGGAGGCGGCTCATGGGGCTGGAACTTTAAGGGAGGGTGACCTGAAGGCCACTTGGGCGCTCAGCAAAGGGCCTTGCTTTGGCTGGTTTCTGGGCGGTGGGCAGCCTGGGAGGGCTGTGCCCCCGCCTCGGGACGCCAGGGACAGGGCCAGAGGGCAGGAGAGGGGCGAGGGAAAGCCAGGCGATCCTCCGGGACGCGGCTCCAGCCTCAGATGGGCCGATTGTTCCCTGAGTCTAAATCGTATTGTTTTCTCTCTAGAAAGGAAGAGGGAAGGAAATTCGGGAGGAGTGGGCAGGCGAGGAGGGAGGACTTGTTGAGCTTTTCTCCCCTGTTCTCTGCTCCGGACCCTGGCTCGTCCAGCTGGCAGACTTTGCTAGCCAGGGGCTGAGGAGTTGGTGGCTAAACCGCTGACTTTTCTGTTGCAGACAACATAGGCGGCCCGGAAGGCAAAAGGGCCCGGACGGCCTACACGCGCTACCAGACCCTGGAGCTGGAGAAGGAGTTCCACTTCAACCGCTACCTGACCCGCCGAAGAAGGATTGAAATAGCACATGCTCTTTGCCTCTCTGAGAGACAAATTAAAATCTGGTTCCAAAACAGGAGAATGAAGTGGAAAAAAGATAATAAGCTGAAAAGCATGAGCATGGCGGCGGCGGGAGGGGCCTTCCGCCCCTGAGTATTTGAGCGTTTAAAGTACTGAGCAGTATTAGCGGATCCCGCGTAGTGTCAGTACTAAGGTGACTTTCTGAAACTCCCTTGTGTTCCTTCTGTGAAGAAGCCCTGTTCTCGTTGCCCTAATTCATCTTTTAATCATGAGCCTGTTTATTGCCATTATAGCGCCTGTATAAGTAGATCTGCTTTCTGTTCATCTCTTTGTCCTGAATGGCTTTGTCTTGAAAAAAAAAATAGATGTTTTAACTTATTTATATGAAGCAAGCTGTGTTACTTGAAGTAACTATAACAAAAAAGAAAAGAGAAAAACCACACAAAAAAGTCCCCTTTCGACCTTGTTTAGTGCCAATGTTGTGTGTTGCACTCCAGTTGTTTAACTGTGCATGTGAGTGGAAGTGTCCCTGTCTCAGTAGCTCCAAGCTGTTAAAGATATTTTTATTCAAACTACCTATTTTCCTTGTGTAATTAATGCTGTTGTAGAGGTGACTTGATGAGACACAACTTAACTTGTTCGACATGTAGTGACTAGTGACTCTGTGATGAAAACTGTGACTCTGAGCGGTGTGTCCCTGCGTGCCTTTGTAGGACCCTTTGCACGAACTCTGGAAGTGGCTCTTATAAGCGCAGCTTCAGTGATGTATGTTTTTGTGAACAAAGTTACAAATATTGTCCAAGTCTGGCTGTTTAAGCAAACTGTGATCAGCTTTTTTTTTTTTTTTTTTTTGTATTTGTTTTTAAGGAAAAAATACTGACTGGAAACAAAAAATAAACTTTCTATTGTAAGTTCTCTTGGTCTGGTTTGTGCCAAATAGCAAGCGGCTCTTTCTTCTCTTCTGTCTGTCTGTCCAGTGCTAGAAGGCTGTGAGTCTGAGGCTACCTGAGCAGCCTGCCTGTGCAAGGAGACCTCAGACCCACACCCTGACCCACGGCCTCCCTAACTCTGACCCATGAGAGAGTTCAGGGCAGACGGTGGAAAAGCTGTAGCTGGTTGCAAAGCCTGAGTCCAGCCTACCCATCTCTGAGGAAACCAAATTAACTTGCTGGATACAAAAAAGAGAAAAAGAGAGAAAGGAGAAAAAGCCCAGGGCTTTGTTAGCTGCCCTCGGGGCCCACACAGATGGTGCCTCTTTCCTCAGGCCATCCTAGGCCTCCACTTGCTGAAGAGGCTGCTGTGCCAAGTTATGGCCCCCAAACCCTCTGCCCCTAACCCACCCAGACACCCCTTTCCACTCCTCACCCTGAACCCAGTTGGCTTCTTTTGCTACAATTAATTTGCTACAAATGGAAGGTACTTACCCCATCCTAGCTGGATTGGGAAACTCCTCAGAGCAGCTAAAGCGCAACTAGAGATTTGCACATTTATCGACTGCTTACCCTGATGCCGTCTTTCCTTTTAAAAGTTATAAAACAGTAAAGTTTATAAGCCCCAGTTCCGGCTATATGACATTTGGGTGCCAAATGAATAGGGTTTTGTCTATGAATTAGATCGTAAAATCATCCATAGCACAGACAGATCGGCTCACTGGCTATAAAACGTCACGTGGGGCCATTAAAGTAAGTTTTATGGTTTTGGGGAGTTGACATCCAACATTATATACCACATAACATATAATCTCACTGACGCTGGACTCCATTTGACTCTTTTGCAGGCTACGTGTGCCGCCTGGTCATTCAAATTGTCAATTTTAGGTCCAGAAGTGTCCAAACTACAAGTTCTCAAAACTCTCTGAAAAATGGCTCCCTCCGAGTTAAGGTAAGCTCGCCTCCTGAGCGCTTTCAACTTTATTTGTACTCTGAAAACTTTCTTCCTCGGTCTCTCTCTCTCTCTCTCTCTGTCTCTGGCTCAATAACTCTGAGGTTGCCTCTGAATTCAAGAGGGGAGAGCAAACTTTCCCTCTGCCCAGATTAGCAGCGCCAGGACCCAGCTTTGCGGAGGCACCACGGGGAAAAGCGCCTGTGGCCGCGCCGCAGCCCTGGCCTAACTTTAATTGCTGCACAACCGCGGATGTTAATGACTTCCGCTGCTCTCGCCGGCGTGCAAAAAGATGATTTTTGTGTGCGACTGGGCCTGTGTGTGCAGACATGGCAAGGTCGCCTCCCATTCGGGGACTGGCAGCGCCGGGATCTTCGGGGGTAGCGGAGCCCTAGGGTGGGGGCTGGGGGACAGTGGGTCGCCGGGCGCGGGCGCCGAGGGCCGCGCTGCTCTTGGGAGTGCTGGGGAGCTAGAAAGAAAGGCCCGGGCAGGGCCGAGGCAGACTCGGACGGATTCCTTACGGGGCTGTGGCAATGTGTCTTCGCGGGCTGGGGTCATCTGGCAGCACTGAATTGAGGCGGCTGCCTTCTAGGCCGGGTTTCAGGCCGGCTGGTGAGAGCCCGGAGGGTGGCAGGGACCGGAGAGGCGCGGGCTGCACCTCCAGGCTGGGCCCCTAGGTTGCGAGGCCGAGTCCGGGGCACTAGCGCCCATAGGACGCTGGGGACCGTGGGTCCCTACCTGGGGGGAGGGCTCAGCAGCCCCTGCCCCGCACCCGGGACCAGCCCCTGAACCTTGTTTGCCTGTACGTTCTTTTTATTTCGGTGGGACTGTTCTCACCCGCCTGTGAGTCTGAAGCAATAAACTTTATGGCCGGATTTAACTTTAGTCTTTGAATCTCCAGGCTAAATGAAAGGAGTTAAAGCGCTTTCTTTTCTTCCGCCTTGCCTTTCTTCTCCCTCTCTTCTTTCCTTTTCCTCTCCTCCTTTGTAGAGTTAGAACATCTAGGCACAGGACCCTCAAAAGGCAACTTACGCATCCCCCTAGGTAACACCGAAGATTAGAGAAATTTACTCCCCCGAAACATACAGACAAATTCTCTCTTCCAAAATGTGCTCTAAAGTTTGGGGGGAAATCGAGGTGTCTTCAATGCCCAACTTAAAAGTCCCCAGAGCCATTAGGTTGTTTTTCCTGACACGTCATAAAGGGTAGTTTAGGGAAGAAATTGGTCGTTTGTCAGTAGGAGATTTCCGCCTTTCTTTTGTTAGCTGCTCTTTCTGTTTGATCCCAGGAAATTTACATAATCTATGATTTCCAAAACAGTATCCATTATTGCGCCAACGGGTGAAGTAAGGTGAAATAAATTTTTCCTGGGTACAATTCCAGCTTGGCCTCAGCCATCCCCTCTGGCCCCAACCCCCCACATTCTTCAGTGGCAAAGCCGGTGACTGAGGATTGCTGTGGTCTATCCTGGGGTCTTTCTCTGGATGGGTACCCACAAGAGACCTAGCAGATTTCCCTGTATCCTTTCTGAAGAATTAAGCATATTCTCCAACTCAGAAATAAAACAAAAAATGGGATCTTCTGTCCCCAAATGCTTTTCTCCTTAGGAGCTGGGTAGTTTTCTGCAAGTGCTAATTGATAAAGATATTTACTAAGTGCTTAAAGTGAAAAAATTTAAAGTATAGATTTTGAATTTCAACAAACTTTATTGTGCAGAGACCACTTAGACTCAACATAAGTCCAACAGATGTCCCCAGAGTCAGAGGTCCAAAAAGTAAAACCTGGGAAGTTTTTTGAAAAAATGGAAACCCTCCCACAAGTCCCACTTCTCTTGAATAGTGGCAAGGTGAATCCCTGAAGTCGTTTTGTGTAACCTGTTAAAGCGAGCACTGATATTTCAGCACTCAGGAAGATATGTCTGCATCGTAGGGGGAGCCAGAATATAAACTCTGTTTGGGTTCTCTTTTATTATTTTATGTGTCTGTGAGAATTCTGGAGTCTTTGTTTTGCTGCTCTGAGTTTCAGATTCTTTATTGGAAAATATCGGTTGAAGGTTTTATTTTAGTTACTCATTTGGTGATCTTGCTTGAGTGATTTCTTGGTGACTAAAAGTAGTAGCAGAAAAAAGAGTGATAGGGCTGCTGGCAGGTTCATTTGAGTAACTTGCCTGGAGGAAGTGTCCACACCACCTCCATGGCCACATCCCACCCTGAGGTGTGGGAATGGGCAGAAAACGCTGTTGGACCAATATCCAGCATCACACAATATACAGAATCTATCTCATGAATTTAAAAAATTACAGGCTATAAATGTTGTCAGCCTGCTTATTCTGTCTGTTGTAATCTTCAGAAAACTTTAGAGTTTAAGAGAGCAGGCCAACTCACGTGGAGTTAAATGACCTTAAAAAAAAATACAGCATCCAGTCAAACTTATGGGAGCATTATTGGAGGATTTTTTTCTTTCTTCCTATTTTCATAGGAAGCATATAGTAAAGAGGATGGCTGGCTATCTGCCCATTTTGTAGATAAGTTATTTCTTCTTGTGCATTCTTTTGGGTTGTTTTTGCAGAGGAACTTACTCAGAAAAAACTCTGTCATTGAGGGCTTTATGAAGACATCAAGCCTCAGCCAGTGGCAGAAGTGTCTGTCTGTGATCAGTGGCAGAAGTGTCTGTCTGTGATCGTCTTGTAAAAGGAGAAGGCGTCTGAAATGTGCAGGGCCCCGTTTGTTTCTACAAGCTACAGGGACAATATTTCCTGAACTATAAATATAATAGGAAGCTTCTGGTCACACTTACTTACGGGTTTGTTAGGGTTTCCATGGTCTAATTTCACAACATTATGCCAAGATTCCTTTTCTCCTGCTCTTGCCCGTGCTTCATTGTTGGCGGCTCTGGGAGAGCAAGACAGAATTTTCTACCAGAAACGGAGTCATGTTCATTTGTTGAGTTGTGAAGAGTATTATATCCAAACAATTAGTGAAGAGAGAGCAAATTACATCCTGAAAGATGGGCTATTAAAAAGGAAAACAATCCTTTTAGCTTAAAAGATGCCCTTCGAAGCCTCTCCTGCCTTAGCTAGGGAGTCTGTCCGAGGTTTGCCCACCATGGAGAGTGCAGAATGTTGTGGGCTCCATGCCTTTGGCTTCTAAGGCAGAATTTCTTTCTAGTCAATGACAAAACTACAAACGAGGCTTCCAAACAGACTGAGGGGGTCAGCCTAGGCTCCCACTCACATAGAAGAGGGGAGCCACAATCCTAACCATTCGAAGCCCCAGAGCTAGAATATCTGCCTAGGTCTCTTTTGTTTGGTGTTTTTCACAAAGAAAGCTGTCCTTCTGCCACCAGGTCCCCTCCCTACAAACTGGTCTTTTCAATAATAATATTTGTTATGAAGGTTATTAGGTAATTATTGCAATTTTGTGAAGCAGCCCTTGCTGGAGGTGAAGTCTGTCATCGCCTAACAAATGATGCCCGCGCAGTTCACTGCCGGGTTAAGTAAATGCAGAGAAGATAAATCTGCACACCCTAGGAATCGCCAGCAGAGCACGCTTTAGTACAAGTTCACAGTCAACTGGCCTGCTTGGGCCAGCTCTCCCAACAATTAGGGCTGCGTCTTTATTTTTAAATAAAGAAAAATAAAAATGTCTCCAACTCCCACTGCCTGCTTCCTCCCCATCTTTTTCCTTTCACTTTTTGCAAGGTTCCTCCGTCCTACTCCAAATTTTCCTTGTAAATATAATGATGAGTAATTTCAAAATAATCTCATTCCTATTTAAGTGCTGACAAGAAAATACAGTCACAGACACACAAAAATATCCAATTCACCCTTTTATTCCAAAAAGCAGTGGCAAAAGCAGGGTATCCCTGAGATCTGGGGGGGGGGGCTTCCCCCTGAAAGAAGAGGCACAGCTTTGTGTATCTTTGTGGTTAGTGCATTACAACTGCAGGTCAAAAAGTTGAGGGTCAAAAGTTTACGTTGTGCAGCACTCTTAGTCATCTGCCCAGACAGAGTTTGATGTCAATGTTAGAGCTGC